AATCAGAGCCACTTATTAAATCAGGGCCACTCATTAAATCAGGGCCACTCTTTAGATCAGGGCCACTCATTAAATCAGGGCCACTCATTAAATCAGGGCCACTCTTTAGATCAGGGCCACTCATCAGTTCAGGGCCACTCTTTAAATCAGAGCCACTCATTAAATCAGGGCCACTCTTTAAATCAGAGCCACTTATTAAATCAGGGCCACTCATTAAATCAGGGCCACTCTTTAGATCAGAGCCACTCATTAAATCAGGGCCACTCATTAAATCCGAGCCACTCATTCGTTTGGAGCCACCCACTGAAGAAGAGTCTCCCACAAAATCTGAGCCACTCTTTAGTTTAGAGCCACCCATCACTTCAGAGCCGCTCACCAAATCTGAACCACACATTAAATGAGAGCCACTCATCAATTTGGACGCACTCGCCAAACCAGTTTCACCCATTAAATCTGAGCCGCCCACTAAATGAGAGCCTCCCACTAAATGAGAGCCTCCCAATAAATCTGACCCACTCATCAATTTGGACCCACTCGTCATATCGGAGCCGCCCACCAAATGAGACACACTCATTAAACCTGGGCCGCTCTGGCCATCTGGCCCCCTCATCAAAACAAAGCCAGTCTTGACATCCGGCCCGGCCGTCGGGCCATACCCGCCCACCAAGCCATGCGTGGCCATCCCAGGCCCTTCCGGAGTGGCGCCGCTTTTCTTGCGGCGGGCCTTTCGCCTCGCTTTCTGGCCCCGTGGCCCGGACCCTTGGCGCAGCGATTCAGCCGGCCGGGGGCCGGCCCCGGCGTCCTCCAGCAGCGTGGACTCCGCCCCGGACTCCGCCCCGGACACGCCAGAAACGCCAGAAACGCCAGACACGCCAGAAAGAGCCGCCGGCGGCGGCACGTGCACCGTGCCCTCGATGATGTGGTCGAAGTTCAAGTCCGCCACGACCTTGCGCCGTGCACTCAGCTCCGCGCCGATGAACGTGCGGCCGGGCGAGCTGGACACGTAGTAGCGCACCGCCGAGCGCATCTCGAAGGCCCCGGTCGAGAACGTCGAGTCCTCCGCCACCGACGGCTGCAAGACGCGCCGCCCGCGGCCCGCCTCACACGCGTCCACGTGCACCACCTCGACCGCGTCCGCGTCGCCCGTGGCCTCGCGCGTGAGGTCGACAATCTCGATGAGCTCGGCGGTGTCGGCGGGCTCGGCGGGCTCGGAGAAATCGGCGGGGCCAGAGAGGTCGATGAGCTCGGCAGTCTCCGGGCGGGCAGTCTCCGGGCCGAGGGCCTCGACGAGGTCGGCAGCCTCGCGGTCCGCGTCCTGCGAGCACCAGCGCGAGTCCCGGAGCCGGCGCTCGGCAGCGTCCAACATGGCCCCGCGGAGTCCGCCCGCCGGCGCCCGCCGGCCGCCCACGCGGCGGGCCTCGGCCTTGCACGTGCCCCGGGCAAGCGCCTGGAGCCGCTTCTGCCGCACGCTCTGCGGCGCGGCCCACGGCGCCCGGAAGCCGCGGCCAAGCACGTTCTCCTCGCACACGTAGGTGCCCGCGGCCACGCCGCCGGCCTCGTGCTTGCGCCGGAGCTCGTCGAGCAACGCGTAGAAGCGCGCGTCGTGCGGGCCGTGCACGTTGTGCGTGAGCTCGTGGAGAAGCGTGCCCACGAGCTCGGCCATGGGCAAGAACACGCGGGCGTTGTGCGGCGTGCGCAAGCGCACGAGGATCTTGTGCCCGCGGTTGACGTTGAGCCCGAGCAACGCGCGGCTCTTTGGGTACATTTCGCAGAGCGTGCCGACCGAGAAGCGGTACTCATGGATGAGCGGCGCCACGGCGCGTGCCATCTGGTGGAGCAAGTCGAGCGCGTGCGCCTTGTCGGGGTAGCGCTGCAACGACGCGATGTTGGCGATGCGTGCCACGGGCGACGGCCGCGGCGGCTCGGCCTTGGCGGCGGGCCTGCGGCGCTTGGCGGGGACCACCATTCCGGGGGCTGGCCGGGTTGAGTTGGCGGTGTTCTCAGGCGGCGTTCTCAGGCGGCGTTCTCAGGCGGGCTCGACGATACAAGCGGGGCCTGATGGGTTCAAGTCTGCCTCGATGATACAAGTCTGCCTCGATGATACAAGTCAGGCTCGTGGATTTCAAGTCTGCCTCGATGATTCAAGTCTGCCTCGATGATTCAAGTCTGCCTCGATGATTCAAGTCTGCCTCGATGATACAAGTCTGCCTCGATGATACAAGTCTGCCT